CCCAAGTATTTCCTATGTCACGTTTTAAGTGTCAAGATAGAAAGAAAAAGATACATAGTCCTAGAATCAATGGTAGAAGATAGAGAATCCCTTAACATCCAAACAGCCATTATTTATTTTAGATGCTGAGGCATTCTTAAAATCCATTTATTTACTGATTCAAAGGGCATTATTCAAGTGGTAATAGAATCTGTCACATTTTGGTGCCTTGGTATTTTTTGAATGTGACTAAAATAAAATAAAATTTGGTCTATCACAGGACTTTTTTCTGAGAAGCAAAAACAGTGGAGATTATTGCAAAAACGAGGACAAAGAAAATACTTAACTCTGGGATGTGTTGCTTAATGTTTTGGTTTTAAAGATAAATGTTAAACAGAGTTTCATATTATAACTGTATAGTCCTGCACCTGGGGAGGAATAACACCATTCACCAATACAGATTAGGGGTTTACCTGCTAGAAAGCAGCTCTATGGAGAATGACCTTGGAGTCCAGATGGACAGCAAGTTATCCGTGGGACAGCAATGTGTCCTTGTGGCCAAAAAGGCAAATGGTATCCTGGGGTGCATTAAGAACAGTGTGTCCAGTAGGGCAAGGGAGATTATCCTTCCCATTTACTCTGCCCTAGTGATACCACATGTGGAGTAGTGTATCCAGTTCTGGGATCCCCAGTTCAAGAGGGACAGGGATATGCTTGAAAGAGTCCAGCGCAGAGCTACAAAGATGATTAAGGGAGTGGAACATCTCCCTTATGAGGAAAGGCTGAGGGAGCTGGGTCTCTTTAGCTTGGAGAAAAAGAGACTGAGGGGTGACCTCATCAATGTTTACAAATATGTAAAGAGTGAGTGTCAGGGAGATGGAGTTAGGCTCTTTTCAGTGATGACCAGTGATAGGACAAGGGGTAATGGGTGCAAATTGGAGCATAGGAGGTTCAAGGTGAATATCCGAAATTTTTTTTTTACTGTGAGAGTGACAGAGCACTGGAACAGGCTGCCCAGGGAGGTTGTGGAGTCTCCTTCGTTGGAGACATTCAAAACCCACCTGGATGAGTTCCTGTGTGATGTACTCTAGGTGACCCTGCTCTGGCAGGGGGGTTGGACTAGATGATCTTTCAAGATCCCTTCCAACCCCTAGGATTCTATGATTCTATGATTCTATGCTTGGGAGAGTCCAACAGAGAGCTACAAGAATGATTGAGGGACTGGAACACCTGCCTTAAGAGGAAAGGCTGAGAACTGGGACTGTTTAGTCTTGAGAAGAGAAAACTGAGAGACTGAATGCATTTCTGTGTGACCTGCCCTAGGTGGTTCTGTTCTGGCAGGGGGGGTTGGACTCGATGATCTCCAAAGGTCTCTTCCAATGCCTAACGTTCTGTGATTCTGTGATATAAAAAAGCCTGCAGAATCATTCTGATCAGGAGACGGCCCAGATCATTAGTGAGACACAGAGATCATGTGTCCAGGTGGTGGTCTACATAATCTGCATGAGATGCAGTCTGTTTTGAGGGGTCCTTTGTTGAGTGTTGAGGTGGAAAACAGTACATAAGAATTCCTGCATCAGTTGAGGTGTGGGGTTGGGGCAGGGGTTTGAGACAGGAAGGGCCTCAAGCTTTCCCATAATATAAAGATAATTATTTTTCTTGTGCTGCCATGATTTTAGTTTTCTGTCATATCTTCTGACTGTCAAGAACAAGGAGAATAGATATAGCAGTCTTTGTTACATCTGAGTAAGGCTGTATTGGACAACAAGTTTGTAGTTCAGAAGGGATTTTAGTGTGAGGACTGCTGAAATTCATTTCTGTGTAATTATGAATCATTGTGAGAAAGGGACCTTTTTTCTACTGTAATTTAGAGTAAACTACCACTGGGAGACACATGAAAAAATATTCAGACCTCATATCTTAAGCTGAACTACTTCTGTTGCCCCTTGATTTTTAGAGCGGTTAATTCTGTAAAAGTTACAAGTAGTTATGGTCGCAGAATAATAAAAATACCCAGAATGCAGAGCCATAAGACAACACTGTCCTCTTGTCTGGGTTAAAACAAGGGAAGAGTCAGATAAAAGTCAAATGAAGTGTATGTCATCCTGTTTACTAGATTGTGCATCATTATACTGCAAGAAAGTGTATTCCAAAGATGGGAAGGGTTAGAGACTGGGGTTGTTCCTGTCCTATAAAGACTCTGAGTTTACAGACAATGATTTAAAAGACTGTAGGGCCTGTTGCCATAGAAAAAGGGATGATGGTTTTAAAATAAAAGAAGTTAGATCCAGGCTATATATAAGGAAGAATATAATGTCTGGTTCAAAAATAGATTAATCATTAGAAATAAATTCCACTGCATATGAACTGGAATCGGCTACATGAAACTAGCAGTGATTTGGATTTTTTAAAATAGGCTGTTGTTCTGGTCATTTCAAGTAAGTACACAGAAAATACGTTAGATGTAATTATATAGTTCATGCAAAATACCTGCACTAAGTGCATTGAAATATATATATATTTCATTGAATGCATAATCAGATTTAGCTGATTCACCCATGAACTTACTTGAATATAAACCTTCAGGCAGAAATTGTTTCTCCTTCGTATTTGCAAGATCTTGACACTTCTTATCACACACACACAAAAAAAGATCATTGAGATCTAGCATAATGCACTTACTTGTTGCTAACATGACTAATACCATTACATGAATTTATGTATTTTACCCTGTAACATTCAGAGGCTCTTTATCCTTTTTTTTAATTTTTAAATTATTATACTGAACCATGAAAGACCAAGAAAAACCTTACAGGCTGGGTACTTGATAAAGATTTTAAAAATATGTATTTCAATGCCAGACATTGTTACAGATTCTGCAGATGAGACTCATCTAGCCACGTAACTGGCATGAGTTCGACTTTATAAAATGGTAAGGCTTCAAAAAAAGATGTTTATGTTTATTGGAATTTTCATATACAATGCTTTTTGTTAAAGGCATTACTTGCATTGATTTCAGTTTTGCAAACTCCATTAGGAAATATATGCCTCTTTAGGAACCAAGTCAACTTTTGGACACCACTTACTGCAATGCTTAAACCTAGAAGCCACTACTATACCAGTTTATTTGGAGATCTGCCAGTTTGGTTCAGAAAGAAATGGATGTGTCTGGTGTTTTTTTCATGTGAATATGCGTTTTCCACAGAGATCCTTCCACAGATGTCTGAAAACAACTGCTTATTAACATAACCATGTGAGGTTTTCATTAGAACTGTTCATGCTTTGCTTTCCAGCACATCATTGTCATTTTTGAGATTGAAAGGAATGGAATTATTTCACTGATGTAAGAAAAGACTGTATTGTGTGTATTTCATGATGTATTGTCTTGAAATGAAAAGTGTTTCTCCTGTAGCTTTCCTGAACACAACAGGAAATTCTCATTGTCTTTTCAGTCTGGTGCTGTCCTTGGAAGCAGGTTCAGCTTCTTACAAGTTTTGAAGCATTATCAATCTTTTCTTAAAGAGTAGATTGAGCTGTCCCTCATTTTATGGTAATATTTGGCAGTTCTGTGTTCCATTGGTTCAGAGCAAGAGTCCATGCTTCCAAAATACATTCATCACATTTCTCACTTAACATTTCTCTAAGTGAGAGCACAGTTTATTTGTGATCTCTAAGGAGAAATTACCTAATGGAAAAACTGTAAGCTGAAAGACATTTAAAAATGTTCAACTATAATAATGACTGAACACCAGTTTACTACAGCTCCCTTTTTCTGCCATGGGCCAAGTTACCCAAGGGCACTTAGTAAGAACTGACATTATTATTATTAAGCTGACATTGCAGGCAGACTTACTACCTTATCTCCAGGTTGATGTGAGAGTATTGGCCACTGCTTAAAATCATGACTGACAACCAGGTCAGTGAATCCTCTGCCAAGGCAATGAGCAAGTTTTACCTCAGTATCGTTTTCAGTGTAACGACTAAGGAGAGATTTCCTGCTCAGTTTAGGAAACCACACAGAAATGTAAATTAAAATGGCTGTCTCATAAAATGTCTAACGACATATAATTTCCTAAGATTAAATAAATGTTGAGTAGAACTTCAATCAGTACTTTCAATATGCTATCTGGATACTTTTCCTAATAGAAACTTCTCTCTGTTGTTCTTGTGATCACTGTAATTTTCTTTTATGGGACTATGGAAGACTGGAGTTGCTTTCTTTTTTATGTGATAACAAACAATAGACAATGTCTCTCAGAAATGTCTTTTTTTTTTTCTTTGTATTGTCTGTAGGGGACTGAGGTCCTTTTGAGGACCTGAGGATCTGATTTCATAGTTCCCTGATTTTCTGATTTCCTATTTAGGACTGTGACATAATCATTTGCTTATCATGTGCCAACAAAGCATGGCAACTAGAATTCAACACTAAGGTGGAAATGTTAAAAAATACCCAACAAAAAAAGTACTCCAACAACCTCAAGAGTATTCAATCTTCAGTACAGAGAAACTATTTTCTTTCCAAGTTTGAAACTCAAAGAGTATATAGTAGAAATAGATTTCATTAGATTCTGCAGTATGCATACTGCTGGATGAACCATGCTGCACACGCTACTGAATCACCACATGGATTATTGTTGTAGAGGTTTCTGTGTACTGAAGCAGATGACACAAGGCTAATCCTATTGCCATTCCTTTTTTGCTGTGCAGACATATTTGTTTGTTTTCTGAAAATGTGGTTGCTACAACGTCTTGATTACTTTTATGAGAATAAATTTTAAGAAATATGTTTCTATCACCTTCTCTTAAGATTAAAAAGGCCCATGAAACACCTATACTTGATTATAACTGAAGTCAACCAAAGTCAAGGGTACTTCTGACATATGTATGGAAAGAGAAGTGTGTTATTGTTTCCCTTTCTACCTAGTATTTTAAAGTTAAATAATTTATTTTCCTTCTTATATTAAACCAACGAATTAATATATATAAATTATTTATATGTTATTGTTTCTTTCCTTCCCCAGATGTACATCCAGACAACAACACTTACTGTCTCCATGAGTTTAAGTGCTTCTGTGTCTCTGGGCATGCTGTACATGCCCAAGGTTTATATTATAATTTTTCATCCAGAGCAGAATGTTCAAAAACGGAAGCGGAGCTTCAAGGCTGTAGTGACAGCTGCCACAATGCAAAGCAAACTGACCCAAAAAGGAAATGACAGACCAAATGGCGAGGTCAAAACTGAACTCTGTGAAAGTCTTGAAACAAACAGTAAGTCATCTGTAGACTTTTCCATGGCCAAGAGTGGCAGCATTTCTTAATAGATGTACGTTCAGAAGAATTCACTTTCTTTTAATAATAAATTTTATTCTTTTTGTTGCTTATTCTGCATGAATCCAGAGATGTGTCAGAATTAATGTACTACTGAATGCTGGAATGCCTACAGTTGTTTTCACAGGAGGATAGTTAAAAAAAAAAAGTAGCAAGCACAAGCAGATTTTGGAAAGCAACATCATTTTATAATGACCCATTTTAGTTACTGCTAATTTGATATGTTGTGCATTGCTGGGCCAGTCATGGTATGTCCTGACAGTTAATGAGATGTATTTATAGTCATCCTTGTACATTAAAAACTCAAAGGCTGTTGGGAAAAAAAACCAACAAAACAAAACAACAACAACTACAAAAAGAAACCACACACACAAAAAAAACCACAACACACTTAATACTGTTTTTATTTTGCAGTTAGATATGGGAGTGAAAATAATGCTTTCTACCTTGACTCAATATTTGTTGCCTTGTTCATTTATCACAATTAATGAATACAAAGGCTTCCCAGAGTAGCCCTTCCCCTCCAGGTTTTTGTTTTGGTCTTACTCATCTTGACACAAAATTGTGGTAATTCAGAGATAGTTTAAACATTACATGTTCTGACATATCATGGGTTAGTGATAAGAAGTTCTTTCCCATGTCAGAAAAATTATTGCATCTTGTTGCATCTCTAAATTACTCTGATATTGGAGAGAACAGAGGTCATAGCTTCCATTCCACCACATGACATACAATCTTACAAATTTGATGTAATAATAATAATAATAATAATAACAACAATAGCTGCTATTATCATTGTTATTATCATATTATTATTAATAATAGCTGCTATTATTATTGTTATCATTAATAACAATAGCTGCTATTAATATTGTTATTATTGCTGTTATTGTTATTGTTGTTATTTTTGTTGTTATTATTATTGCCAGTAACTATATCCCCAGAGCTTAGCAGTAATGGAGAATCTGTTTCTATCGAAGAGTTAGAGGTCACATGGTATGGACATGGACAGGAGCTGTTACAGTAAAGATTTTTTTTCAGTCATTTTAATGCAAATGTGGGTGTTTTTAAATTTTTTTATTACTTTTTGAGTATGTTGATGGGAGATTAAATAGTACTATCTTGCTTGAGCACATTCAGACAAGTCTGTAGTGAGGATGATGAAAAACATACTATTTATTTCAGAAAATTGCAACCTGCCACTGAATTCAATCAGAATTTGCCAGACTGAAAACTATATAAAAACAGTCCGTAGGTTTACCATAATATAGTTGCTGATGCATGGAGGATACTGAGTGCAAACCAAATAACTTGAAAAAGTCATGACCCTTCAAAATGTGTAAATCTCCATGACTGAACATTGGGTTTATACAGTTTCAAATTATGATATATAACAAAGGAAAAAAGGAGAAAGGCAATTAAATTCCTTGAGGATCAAATAATAGCATAGAAATATTAAGAACACAATAATTTGTCAAATTTTCAGAAGTCACCAAAAGAAAATTCAGAAGGCATCAGGAGGTGGATTTTGCTGCATTTACAAAATTATAAACTTCCAAGGAAAGGTGAAAGGTGAGATTCCACAGCAGGGTGAGAGAGAGTGTTAATAAGAAAGTCTTGGGGTATCTGATGTTTATTTACTGTACCTAATTAAGAAATGCTGTGTCTGGTATTCCTTGGACTATGATTATGCATAATCCATGGAAACAGCTGCTATTGGAAACAACTCTGCTTCTTCAGTAGTGTGATGTATGCAGGGTATTTCTTAGTTGCTGTGCTCTAAACATGATTTTAACAGTAGCGCATCTATAACATTCTGAGCTCCCCAGGAGTATATCCTGACTAGGCTTTGATCCAAGCATCAAAATGCTTCATAGGCAAAAATTCAGAGTCAAGTCATCTGCACTCCAGAGAGCTGTCCCTGTATAATTGTGCTCTTGGCCTCAGGGTGGGTTTATCTCTTCCCAAAATGGTTCTGTAACATTTGATCAGCCTCCCTCTTTCCTGCCAAAACAGTTATTGTCAAAACTTTTGGAGGTTCCTGTAAATTATCAGAAAACAGTGCCATGATACTCCTTTTCACTAGGTCGGTATTAACAGCCTCTCAACATTGCTAAATTTCTTCTTGCACTGACTCCATGTGAGGTAGGTCTGTCTTTTCAGTGATAGTATATGAAGCTGAGCACAAATATCTAAGCTATTCCTGGTATACCAGAAGTGAGTAGTAAGATTTTCCCACCATTTCCCAAGCACAAATATTGGTAGTGATAGCAATGCTTGTAACTGACAAGAAATAAGATGGTCAGGAAATTCCTTTTGCTTCCAGTGCAGAGGCATCTCTGCTCTGTCTGGTTCATCCTGTTCCACGCAACAGACTTTAGTCAATGTTGTTCCTTGCATTAATACAGTCATGTTGTTTTATGGGGTTTTGTTGGGGTTTTTTTGTGGAAATACTTCATATTCAGTGGAAAACAATTTGTGTGTGGGAAACAGGATGAAACAAAGTAATCCAGATGGAATTACAGAGGGCATAACTATGACAAGTACTTCAAATGCATATAGGTCAGATTAGAATAATGTTAAATTGTTTTATATCCCATTTTATTTAAGTCTTTTTCTTCTTCTCTCATTCCAACGCCAATGCAGTAACGAGCTAGAAAAGAGTGTTCATTCCCAGAAACATTTTGAGCCAAATCTGTTACTTTTTCTGGCCATCTATGCTTGCCAAATGTGGTTCATGTTACTACTCTGGAATGCTAACAGTCTTGAAGAGTAGGACACCAGCTGCTGAAGCTTTCAGATCCCCAAACAGGAACTGTAGGCTTATTACAGTGAACTATAAAGACACTTGCAATATTTATCAAGAAAAAAAAAACCAAACATTGCAGATGAGATTAGATTTAATACATTTTGAACTGTTGTCTACACTGACTTCCTGTGCTATAATTTTTGAAGTAACAACACACAGAACTCAAGAGAATATTTTTGTTTGTTTGTTTCTTGATCAGTCCTAGATTAATTCTGTCAAAACTATTTAAGTATCAAATATTGTCACGATCCGTGACCTATTATATCTCCTTATTGGAGTGTATTAACTTATCAGGATTTGCTGAGAGATCCACACGTGGGTATCGCCTCACACAGAGGATACAGGAACTTATGTCCCGACTTTTTTGAGTGAATAACTCGCTCAGTGCTTACTAAATTTCTAACAACAGCAAGGTTTATTGTGGGGAAAACAAAGCAATTTGGGGCAGGAGGTTCAAAAGGAGTGGTTATAACACATTAAACATATATGGGTACACCTTAGTTACACATCTTATTCAAGTGCTGGAAGGAGAGGGGAGGGGTATGCCCGAATGGCTGGATTATATTTTCCCCTATAAGCTGGGGTAGCCGGAATTGTCTCACCACGGCAGTGCAGGTAGGATGAGCTGGGTAGCAAAGAAGCTGGGGGCACTCCAAGCGCAGGTCGCCCCCCCCCCGAGAGAAGCGGCTCCGGGACTTTGGGACCGGGGCTTTGGCAGC